CATCCCCTCCCTCCCCAGAGTTTTGTGTCCATTGGTTGTACTTATATGCATGTATAAAAGTCCTTCGGTTGATCTATTATCTCTCCCAGATCTTCCTCCCCTCCCCGCTGTATCCAGTCTGATTTCTATTCAGGTCTTTTTATCTCCCAAAATGTGGATAATACTGTTTTTACTTCTTAATTTGTTTTTCTTAATATAAATCCCTCATTTAGATTTATAAGATTTTTTATCTCTAATGTCACAAATATTTATCATTATTTACTTTTTTTAAAAATATATTTTATTGATTTTTTACAGAGAGGAAGGGAGAAAGATAGAGAGCTAGAAACATCAATGAGAGAGAAACATCGACCAGCTGCCTCTTGCACACCCCCTACTGAGGATGTGCCCGCAACCAAGGTACATGCCCCTGATCGGAATCGAACCTGGGACCTTTCAGTCCGCAGACCGACGCTCTACCACTGAGCCAAACCGGTTTCGGCTCATTATTTACTTTTAATAATCTTTATGTATTTAATATACTGAAATTCTTAGTTGGTTTTTATGTAATTCAATTGATAAATCTTATACTATATAATTTCCACTTTTAGTATATTATTAGAAAGGTGTTTGTCATTTTAATCCTATGTAGTCTGTTAGTATTTATACGGTTTCATTAAAATTCTCAATTTCGCTGGAATTCATTTTGGTATATGATGTAATGTAAGAATCTAACTTTTCCTTCCACAATATTTAACAACTTTTCCTCTCCCAGGTGTGTTTAGGAGATTGTCCCTTTAAATCAGTTTGTCCTTTAAGTAAATCTGTCTCTAGAAATCATGCACTTGGCATTTGTATGTGTCTCTTTAAACTGAGTACTCAAAAGAGTACCAATCTCTTTAACTTTAGTTCCAGTATCTTTTTATGGCATCAGACCCATTAAGATGTACTGCCCTGGCCAGTGTGGCTCAGCTTGTTGAACACTGTCCAGTGCACCAAAAGGTTGCTGGTTCGATTCCTGGTCTGGGAGCATGCCAGGGTTGCAGACTCAATCCCCGGTGGGGGCATGCAGGAGGCAGCAAATTGATGTTCCGCTCTTACATCAATGTTTCTTTCTCTCCCTTCCTCCCTCTCTATCTGTATATATAACAATATAAGAAAATGTACTTACTTTGACATTTGTTCCCTGCAGTTTGTGGTCTAATCTCCATTTTTGTTTTAAAAATGACTTCAGATTTTGAGTGAATTTAATCTTTTTGGTGATTATTCCAACTCACCCATAGGTCCCTTCACTAGTGTTCTTCTGTCTTCCTCTAATGTGTTCCTCCGTCTGCCTTTCTTGCCTGGCAGAACTGGGGTAGGACAGGTGTGTGGGATGGGGCTGGTGTTTGTTTTCTTCCTTTCATTCATAGTTAGTTATATTTCAGTTGGGGTATTTTGTCTTCAAGTAATAATGAAGCTGTAGCTTTAATAGAATTGTTCCTAGATGTAAAGCTATTTCAGGTCATGTGGGAAGAGTTTTGGAAAGTTATTACACAGTATCCTTGGTCTGCAGCTACCCAATAGTACTAATACTATATTCTTAACTTTAAGACTTAGTTACCAAATTTTAAAAAATCAGACTTTAGTGAGTGGTTTTTTACCTGAATGTTTCTTCTTGGAGCTGTTCTAATTGAGTTTGGAGCTGCAGATGCCTCCTTCCTGCTGGACTGTTAGGATCTTCTATAGAATCAGATTGATTAAGTCTTTCCATTAATACCTGGTTCTCTGCCAACAGGCTGCTTTTCTCCTCTTGCAATGCTGCAACCTGTTAGAAGAAAGGAAGACAGCGGTTATTTCTCCCAATGACACTGGCATTGGCATAATCACCTGGGAATTACCATGATAAATTAAAACCTGTTTTTTAAAAAGTACAATAAAAAATAATAAAATAAAAAGTACAATCAATCTTCACTTAAAACATTCAACATTATGCATCTTCATGTGAAGTAAAGAAAAACTGGAAACAGCACAAATGTCCATCAGCAAGTGAATGCATGAGTAAACTGGGGTATATCCATACAACTGAATATTATTTTAATAATAAAGAATTAACTATTCATAATGACAAAATGAATAAATCTCAAAATAATGCAAGAAGTATGACCAAAAACAAACAAACCACAACAGTATGCACTGTATGAGTACTTTTATATAAAATTCTAGAACATACAAGCTACAATAATTTATAGGGACAGAAAGCAGTTTGGGACTGGAAGGGGATTACAAAGAGTCACAAGAAACTTGGCGGTTGATGGGTTCATTATATTGATTGTGGTGATATTACATGTTCATACATATGTTAACATCTATTAAACTTGTACATTTTAAATATGAGTAGTTTATTATATATCAAGAGGTCCAGTTCATGAATTTGTGCATGGGTGGGGTCCCTCAGCCTGGCTGGCTATCGGAGCCATCTGGCCCACGCACAGTGACCCAGCACTGACTGCAAAGGGGACTGCAGATTAGCCCAGCCTGCACCGTCTCCAATCAGGGACTCCTTGGGGGATGTCTGACTGCTGCTTTAGTCCGGATCCCTGTGAGCCTGCAGTCAGACATCCTTCTTGCAATCTGGGACTGCTGGCTCCTAACCGCTCACCTGCCTGTTTGCCTGATTGCCCCTAACTGCCCTGCCCTGCTGGCCTGATCTCACCTTCAACTGCCCTCCTCTGCCAGCCTGATCTCCCCCCCCCTCAACTGCCCTCATGTGCCGACCAATTTGGCTCTGAATGGTCATTTTCTATGCTAGTCAGCATCTCCGGGCCTGATCAGAGAGGCAGGCTGATCAGCAGCCCCTGCCGAGTCCCAGAGAGAAACAGAGGTGTGACTGTTGGTGAAGTCTGGAGAGAAAGAGAGATAAGAGCTGAGTAACAGCTGCCACAGAGGCTGCAGATCAGACTCTGCCTCTCTTTGGGCCTGATCTGCAGTCCCCTTTGCAGTCAATGCTGGGTCACTGTGCCTACACCGGTGGCAGTCAGTGCCACAGCAACCCAGCGCTGACTGCAGGACTGACTTACGATATTCAATCAAGCCTTCGGTTGGTTGTTATGAATCCTGTGTTTTTATATATTAGGATTATTTCTCAAGAAAGCTATAAAAACAAAAGTTGCCTGACATTTCTAATTCTCCCTCTCCATCTCCCATTGCCTTCTGAACTCATACTGCCTCTACTTCTCCACCAAAACTGCTGACCTGCTGACTTCCAGGTCACAGTACTCTACCAAGAACACTTATACAACCGATCACATCCTCCCCATTGAAGTATTTTCTTCACTTGGCTTCCAGGACACCTTGCTCCTGGTGTCTGTACCAACTCACTGGTATACTTTCTCTCTCTTCTTTGTCTTATTTGCCCTGCTATTAGAGTACCCCACTACTTTTCTTTTCTAAACACAGCGATGGCTTCCAGTTTCATGACTGTAAACACCTTCTGTTCACTGACAACTGACATATTTCTCTTTCTAGCCTAGAACCCTGACCTGGATGTCATGTCCAGTTTGATGTCCAATAGGCATCTCTAACTTAAATTGTCCAAGCTGAACTTTTAATTACCCTCCGCCCAGTCCTTCCCCAGCCTTTCCCATCTTAGTAAATGGTAACTCTATCCTTCCGATTGCTTAGTCATAAGCCTTAACATCTTTCCACCACATCCAATCTGTCAGCAAATATCATTGGCTTTACCTTCAAACACATTTGGACCACTAGCCCTAAATTCAGATGACCTCAGCCAACATAATTTTTTGCCTAGATTACTGCAATGACCACTTAATTTGGCCCTATTTTCCCTATATTCTCTTCTCTACACAGCAAAACAAGCACACTCCATTAAAACAAACAGATCAGAGGACTACTTCGTGCAAAATCCTCCAATGACTTCCCATTTACTCAAAGTCAAAGTCTTTCCAAAAGCTTATAAGGCCTCTCCAGACTGATTTCTAACTCCCTTCCACTCCTGCCACCCTCACTATCCTGCTGTTCCTGGATGTACCACCATGCTCCCACCTCAGGCCTGTGCTCAGCCTGTAATGCTCTTCCTGAAAATCTGGGAGGCTTGCTCTCATAACCTCTTTTGGATTTTACTACCATGTCACCTACTGTGGTGCACTTGTATTGACTACTCGATTTAAAACTACTAACTCTTCCTATTCTAGATCCCCTATTCTACCTTTTCTGCTTTATTTTTCTCCAGAATACTTACCACCACTTAAAACTACATTCTTTACTTATTGTCTGTCTTCCTTACTAGAATATAAACACCTTGGGTGTCGGAACATTTTATCTATTTTTCTATATCCCCTCACCTTCATTGTATGTACAGTAACTTGAGCAGTGGATGGTACACAGTAGGTGCTCAGTAAAAGTCTAGTGAATAAATGAATGAATCTGAAATGTCAGTTCTATAATTTATTAGCTTTCCATAAATGAGTCTTTTTTTTAAAAAATTATTTGTTTATAGATTCTTGAGAGAGGAAGGGGGAAAGAGAGAAAGGGAGGGAGGGAGGGAGGGAGGGAGGGAGGGAGAGAGAGAGAGAGAGAGAGAGAGAGAGAGAGAGAGAGAGAGAGAGAGAGAGAGAGATCCATGTGAGTGAGAAACATTGATTGGTGCTTCCCACATGTGCCCCAGCTAGAGACTAAACCCACAACCTGGATAGGTACAGTGACCAGGAATTGAACCACTGCCTTTTGGGGTTCAGGATGATGCTCCAACCAAATGAGCCAAACCACCAGGGTTATGTCTTTTCTCAGAACAGAGTTATGGCTCTATTCTATGCCACTGGTCTATTTCATCCATTTCTGCTCTTTCATTCTTCTTTCTTAAATAAATGTATACGGCTTAAAATTTTAAATTTTAAAAATTAATTTATTTGCTACTAATTTCTGACTTTAATTGCATCTTTATCATAGGGCATGATCTAAAGACACAGATTTTTTAAAAATTTTGTTAAGAACTGCTTTATAGTCTGACTGGTGTGGCTCAGGAGCATTGACCTCCTATGAATCAGGTGGTCACAGTTCGATTCCCAGGAAGAGCATATGCCTGGGTTGTGGACTTGATTTTCAGTAGGGAGCATGTAAGAGGCAGCCAATAAACGATCCTCTCGCATCATTCATGTTTCTATCTTTCTCTCCCTCTCCCTTCCTATCTGAAATCAATAAAATATATATTTTTAAAACTGCTTTATAACCTGGTATCTGGTCAGTTTATAAAGGCTAAAACTTTAATGCTAGACTTATCAGACTAGCAAAGGTTGCTAAAATATTTTAACTCAATATATTTGGCAGAAATCCTTTTCACAAACACAGAAAAAGGAGACTAATTAAAAATAATACAGAAACTTGATTTAAGCAAAATATCAAACAAGGCAAAGGGGCTTATAATGAAAAGCTAGTTTCCTATTGACATTTTCCACTTCTAAGGGACAACTAGTTTTTAAAGAAATTTTTAAAAGAATTTTTATTGATTTCAGAGAGAGAAAGGGAGAGGGAGAGAGAGAGAGAAACATCAATGATGATAGAGAATCATCGATTGGCACGCCCCTCACTGAGGATCAAAACTGCTAGTAGGCAGAATCCAACCTGGTGACCTCATGGTTCATGGGTCAACATTCTACCACGAAGCCATGATAGCTGGGCAAGAGACAATTAGTTTTAACTATTTTAAATTCTATTGCTTTCAGTACTTACTTTACATCTCTTAATAATATGTTTTAAAACACGATTTCTTTTATATATATATATATATATATATATATATATATATATATTATTGATTTTTAACAGAGAGAAAGGGAGAGAGAGAGCTAGAAACGTCGATGAGAGAGAAACATCGACCAGCTGTCTCTTGCACACCCCCCACCAGGGATGTGCCCGCAACCAAGGTAGTACATGCCCTTGACCGGAATCGAACCTGGGACCTTTCAGTCCGCAGACCGACGCTTTACCACTGAGCCAAACCGGCTTCGGCAACACTATTTCTTGATTTATCAACTTTAGACATTATCTCGTGACTCTTCCTCTGAAAAATTAAATCACAGCAACTTCTGACATCTCTTCTTTCCACAAAGATTGTTATATCACTATTCTACTTCACTGGTCACTTCTGCAATTTTAAACAACTACTCACTGACTCATTTCACTCAATTATTCACCATTCATTCACTCACTCAGATATTCATTGTGTGCCTACTACATACTAAGCACGTTGCAATTTTATTGGTGCAAGGCATACCATGATGATTAAAACAGAGAAAGTTCTTATTCCACTGAATAGTTTTATATTCAAAACAAATCACATTAAATATATAAACAAAAACATATTAAGTAAACTAATAAATACATGCAAAAATGAGAGTGGCAAGTGCTATGCAGAGAGTTAAAGTAAGAATAATATGAGAGTCTGGATGATTACTTTACATTGGCTGACCACAGAGGACTTCTCAAGGAGGCTTAATTTAGTACTTGACATATTTAAGTGCCCAGTAAATATTTTATGACAAATAAACCAGGAGGTTTGAGCTGAGATTGAATGACAAGAAGGAGCCAGCCATGGAATGACTGTTGCCCCACAGAAGTGGTTTTTGACTTTCTTCTTGGAAAGACAAGAACATTAGTGGCCCTCCCCTTCCCTCATCACTCTTGCACTATTTTCATTCTCAATCTCTATCATCTAACCTTTACTTTCTTCTTCTTTTTTTTTTTTAAATACATTTTATTTATTTTTTACAGAGCAGAAGGGAGAGTTTGAAGCATCGATGAGAGAGAAACATTGATCAACTGCCTCCTGCACAGCCCCTACTGGGGATGTGCCCGCAAACAAAGTATGTGCCCTTGACTGGAATTGAACCTGGGACCCTTCAGTCTGCAGGCTGACGCTCTATCTACTGAGCCAAGCTGGTTTCGGCTGTACCTTTACTTTCTAATAACACATCTTTAGAAAACAATTATAAATGTTGAAAAGCCAGAAAGTTTACATTAGAGGTCATGTTCATGTTATAGGGCTACTCCCCCCCCCCTTTTTTTTTTAATTCCTTTATTGACTAAGGTAATACATATGTATCTTTATTCCCCTATTAGGGGCTACCCTTATTTTTCTCTCATAACTTCTCTGCAACCTTGCCATTCACTTTGAAATCTGTTTATACCAGTGAAACCAAGGGTTCCTATGACTTTGATTATCGATACATTTAGTTTTAAATCCTACCTCTCAAAATCATACCCCTCTTTCCATATATACCCCTCAGAGACCTAGCCTTTCCCTAATAACAGCAAACCCTGAGGCAGCAGCAGACAGGAGCCAGACATGACTAATGGTCATAGTCTGGTCCTCTGGCAGGATGAAGATAGTATCTTTACCTAAGTTAGGTTTCAGCTCCTGAGCATTAATGTGGAATTACCACATGGCCAATTTCCCATGAGAACAAACAGGGATCTGAAAAAAGACTTCAGCACTGTCCTCAAAACCTGAAAAAATAATGTATATTACCTTTACCTCGCCTCTGACCAATCAGTTCCCAGCATGACCCTGAAATCTCTAAGCCATGGTGTCTTGTGATTTTGTTTTATACATATAATCTATAATCCACACTCCATTGGGGCGTCGGATTTTTAGAGCATAAGTCTCCATATTGACCAATTCGGTATTAAATTATTTTTCTTTCTATACTGCAAACTCCTGCTCATGCATTTCTCTGGGTCAGTGCATGCAGGGAAGTAGAGTCAAGGAAAAAATTGCAGTTACAGTAACACCAGGGATTAGTAAACATTTTTGTAAAAAATCAAATAGTGACTATTTTAGGCTTTGAGAGACAAAAGTCTCTGTGACAAGTACTCAACTCTGTCATTGTAGCATAAAAGCAGCCACAACAATACATCAATGAATGTGTAGCTATGCTACAATAAAACTTTATTTATAAAAACAGATGGCAAGTTGTAGTTTGCCAATCCCAATGTATAACTTTAATTTTTTATTATTCAAAGATAATATTTATATTCTGCTTGTAAAATTAACTCTACTTTTATGTATAAGTTCTAAACTCTGATTAATAACATTTACATTATTACTAAATATTATTTACTATATAACCTGTGTGCTTTGATTATACTACTTCCTATATGCATCAAAGCAATCATCAATTCTTATGCTTTTCAAAGCAAAATGCTTCTAGTGCAAATGTTATCACCCCTTTGTAACCATTATCCAGTTTTAACAAATATCAAAACACGGTTATGTTTAATTTATACATTATGTTTAATCTATACCTTGACACACTCTCCCCAGCTCCCTCATTTTGAGGTAGTCCCAGAAAAATAACTTTATTTCTTATTTTCTTTATTTGTGAGATTTCTTTATCTTTTAATTATTCTACTGAATTTTAATTTTGTCAATTCTATTTTAGGTTTACTTAAGTGTTTCTTGATCTCTACGTTTTCCTTTTTTAAAATAGCATCTTGTCCTAATTTTATAGACAGTATCACTAATTTTACTGGCAGTACTAGGTTAAAAGGGAAAAAAAATCTCTTCAACCTTCACCACTTCCTCTATGACCAGTTTCTGGTTTATCTTGATCTTTTTTAATCTTTTGTTAAGCAGGTTTCCCTCACATTTAGAATTAGTCAACAGCAAGGGTAACTGGAAGCTATTTGGTACCACAGGCTTCACTTTAGGGCTTTAGCTATAAGCAAATGACCTTTATGTAAATTAGAGAACCCAGAAGAAAAAAAATGTAAAGGACCTCACTCTGCAATACTAATATTCAATCTAACCTCCCTATAATTCGAAGAAGATGGCTCTGACTGGGAAGCTGACTATAGGTCATTCTATATGCAATGGGTTGATGGGACTTAACTCTTCTACATAAAACCTCTAGTTGCAGCCTCACTCAGCCTTCCCTTGTACCTGTGCTGTCCCTGGGGTTCTGCTTCAGTAAACTGCCCTTCTCTTCCTGGCCACTATATTCTTTATTCCTTTTAGCTATACAGACGTTCCCAACTGCCTTCTGGCTTTCAGAGATTGGTGAAAACTGGTAGTGTGTCATGCTACTTATAACCAAGCCGATGGTTAAATATTCAGGAAAGGAAATTAATGTATTTGCTTAGTCTATCTTTAACCAGAAATGTGTTTTCCTTTATTTTTCTTTAATTAGGGTTGCATTGTAGACAAATTGTACTTATGGCAGGACACAGTACATTTTGTGGTATTTACAGTGATACATTTCAAGCAGGTGGTACATAGCACAGAACTCTTACCTGCATATCCAACTCATGGCATCTTTGAGCAATTTCTTCCTTGGCTGACAAAGCTTCATTTAGTTCCTCTGTAGTTTTCTTCAACTGGTTGGAAACAAAGAGATACAATAAGCATTTCAATATGAAGTGGCAACAATTAATAATTATATTTGTATAGTAAGGAATTAAAATTTATCTTCCTTTTCTTTATGAGGGACAGGGAGAAATCAAGAACCTCTGTATGTAAGAATCAAAATAAGGCACTTCTTTTTAAAAATATATATATTTTTATTGATTTTAGAGAGGAAGGGAGAAGGAGAGAGAGATAGAAACATCAATGGTGAGAGAGAATCACTAATTGGCTGCCTCTTGCAAGCCCCTTAATGGGGACTGAGCCCACAACCCAGGCATGTGCCCTTGGCCGGAATCAAACCTGGGAACCTTCAGTCTGCAGGCAGATGCTCTATCCACTGAGACAAACCGGCTAGGGTCAAAGAAGGCACTTCTAACTTTGAATATTTTTTAGTCCTAAAATCTGTCTTTTCTGTATTTCGAATTTGGTTCTTTCTGCATATCAGGTTTTCCTACACATTTTCTATCTGGGCTACTTGATTCTTAGTAATGTTGACTTAAATAACAGACTTTTTACCCTAGTAAAATATGTATGTGCTAGAGGTCAAGGGTTTCAATTGTTAAAATATATAGCTAGTGTATTTCAATACAAGTTTTTTAGTCATTTTAAAACTTTAGGTTAATTTGTATATCATTTTTATTTTTTTATTTTTTATTTTTTTAAATATATTTTATTGATTTTTCACAGAGGAAGAGAGAGGGATAGAGAGTTAGAAACATCAATGAGAGAGAATCATCGATCAGCTGCCTCTTGCACACCCCCCACTGGGGATGTGCCCGCAACCAAGGTACATGCCCTTGCCCGGAATCGAACCCAGGACCTTTCAGTCCATAAGCCGACGCTCTATCCACTGAGCCAAACCGGTCCCGGCTAATTTGTATATCATTTTTAAAATAAAAGACTTTTATTATTCTGATCCTCAACACAAACCAAATATTCCTGAGTTGTGCCCCATTATTTATATAAATTCTAAGTTAGCAAAGTATGAACAATTAACCAATTATAATTAATCGCTTAATTATTAAAAAGAAAAAGTTGATCAAAGTAAAATTATATTAGCTTCTCATTTCATGTGACCAAACCTCTGTGTAAATACAAAAAAATTCATTCAGAGTAACAAGTTTAGAACCCAACACACCAGAAAGTAAAGGAAGGACCAATTACAACTTGAGCTAAAATTATAGTATTCCCCGTCCTACCCTGTTTGGCTCAGTGGATAGAGCTGCGAATTGAAAGGTTGGATTCTGGTCAAAGGCATGTTCCTTGGTTGTGGGCAGGCACATCCCCAGTAGGGGGTGTGCAGAAGGCAGCTGATTGATGTTTCTCTCTCATCGATGTTTCTAGCTCTCTATCCCTCTCCCTTCCTCTTTGTAAAAAATCAATAATAATAAAAAAATTTATAGCATGCCCTAAGATTTTCCTGCTAAACTTTTATAAACTATGGAGAAGAAATGAAAGAAGTCAAAGACCACAAAGGTTTCTCTTCAAACTTTGGGGCAGATGTCCTAGAATAGCTGGAACACAGAAAGTGACAATGTAACTAACTGCATTTTATTGAAATGCAATAACTAAAATTACAAATTAACTCTCCCATTAAAACCATAAAAACACACTGCAGAGTTCCTTTAAAAATATAGGACTAAGTTTCTCAGTGCAATGTTTCTTAGTACATTTAAGTATGAAGGTTAGAGGAGAGATCTTCAATTGAAAAATAATATGAAATAAAATGTAAACTATCTTTTTATCATAAACTAGAGGCCCGGTGCATGAATTCGTGCATTGGTGGGGTCCCTCAGCCTAGCTGGCAATCGGAAATCAGGATCATCTCACCCAGTCCAGGTTGATCAGATCCCAGAAGCAAGCTAACCTACATACAGGTCAGAGTGTCTGCCCCCCTGGTGGTCAGTGCATGTCATAGCGACTGGTCAACTGAACAGTTGATCAATTGGTTGGACACTTAGCATATTATGCTTTTATTATATAGGATAAATCATAAGATTATGTATACCAATGGAAAATGCATACACTTTCCCAGAGAAATATCTATTGTGTTAAATGTAGTATACAGAAACATATCACTAATAGAAAAAGAAAAATCAGAACTAGAAAACACAAATTACAAAAAATGAAAGAAGTTAATTTATTTTAAAGTGGGTTATGCAATAATACTTTATTTACAAGTTACAAATTTAATTACAAATGTGTAGTATCCATAAGTGGCTTAAGTTCTTAAATTTTTGGTAAAATGTAAAGAATTATTCCGATATATATTACAAAAGCAATTTCAACTGAATCATCCGTTTCAATCTTTGCATGCGTAAAAACAATGTGAATTAGATACCTGGCGATCAAGGTCAACATAGGCATCATTTCCAGCAGAGACGGGAGATTCTTTACTCATCAGCTGAAATTAAGATTTAAATGATTATAACTATGAGGCAAAAAAGACATTCTATATAATATACTTACACAACAAACATGAACACCCAGCCACTATAGAATTATAAAAATTAAAATGAAAACGCAAATGTAAAAGGAGTATTTTTTTATACATTACAACTTTTCAGCCTGGAACTTTGTTTTCATTCCAAGATAATGCCTTCATTTAAAATTATAGGTCTAAATTCTGATACTAATTTTCTCTGTGGGCCCAGTCACGAGAACCAAGTTTTATTCTTATCACTAAAAAGACAAGTTTTTACGTTAAAAAAACATGGGCTTTTCAGTAAAAAAAAAAAAATAAAATAAATAAATGGCATCACTAGCTCTGGTTGATTTGGCTCCGTGGACAGAGTGTCAGCCTGTGGACTGATAGGTTCCAGGTTTGATTCTGGTCAAGGGCACATACGCAGGTTCTGGGCTCGATCTCCGGCAGGGGGGCGTGCAGGAGGCAGCCGATCAATGATTCTCTCTCATCATTGATATTTCTCTCTCTCTTTCCCTTCCTCCCCGAAATCAATAATAATAATAATAATAAAAAAGGCATATAATAAATGTGAAGAAATACAGAAAAGTGACATACTATTTTTTTAAAAATATATTATTTTATTGGTTTTTTACAGAGAGAGGAAGGGAGATAAAGAGTTAGGAACATCAATGAAAGAGAATCATCCATCAGCCGCCTCTTGCACACCCCCTACCGGGGATGTGCCCGCAACCAAGGTATTATACATGCCCTTGACCGGAATCAAACCTGGGAACCTTCAGTCCGCAGGCCGACGCTCTATCCGCTGAGCCAAACTAGTTTTGGCGAAAAGTGACATACTATTAAAAAATAAAAAAGGCAGCTATAAATATTTTTAAAGAATAAATGTGGGAAGCCCAGCAGGTGTGTCTTAGTGAACTGAACATCATCCCATGTACCACAAGGTCACTGGTTGGATTCCAGGTCAGGGCACATGCCCGGTTGCGGGCCCGATCCCTAGTAGGGATGTGCAAGAGGCAGATGATTGATGTTTCTCTCTCCCTCAGCCTTTCTCTATCTAAAGGAAATAAAAACGCATTTTAAAAAACACACAAGTAAATGTGGACAACATCACAATATCCAAAAGGTGGGAAAACCTAAATGTCCATCAAATGAATGAATGGATAAACAAAATGTGGTATACCCAGACAATGGAATATTATTTAGCTATAAAATATTGATACATGCTACCACACAACCTTGAAAATATTATGTTAAATGAAACAAGCTGAGCACAAAAGGGCGCACATCCAATGACTCCATTTAAATGAAATATCCAGAATAGGGAAATTCAGTGACAGAAAACCGATTACTGGTTGCAGGGGCTGCAGGGAAGGGGAAATAAGGACTGCCTATTTAATGGGTACAGGGCTTCCTTCTGTGGTGAAGAAAAAGTTATGGAACTAAATAGTGGTAATGTTTCCATAACATTATGAAATGTACTAAATGCCAGTAATGGCAAATTTATGCTATAAATATTTTACTACAATAAAAATTAAACACATATAAACAGAATGTGCCTTAAATAAAAAGTCTACCATCTTACAAAAGCTCTTTTTTAATCCTTTAATTTTATCCAGCTACCTACTGTTCTTCTCCTAAATCCAGTCAGTCACCAAACCAATTGATGCAAGCTCTGATAATTTTCAACTCTGTCAACTTCCCTCTACCCTAACTGCTATAACTTGGTTCACCTCCCACCATTATTCACTATATAATTATTTAGCTAAAGTCTCTTAACTGCTCTACCTTTTTCTAACTTGTTGTTCTCCAATCCATTCTTCTCAGTGCACTGATTTTCTCAGATACAGACTTCAATATCTTTTCTCCTTAAAATCTATTGTTTTCCAAAATTTTGACTCTTAACAAAACTGCTCAATATCCTAATGATTTTGTCTCGTTTCACCTCTTATTTGTACCTTACAAAGTTTGCTAAAGGCATTCTTTTAATACCCCCAGCATGCCATTCAGGACTTGCTTTCTCTTGTCTCTTGGACTTAAGCACAATTTTTGCCCTTTCCTTACCTTATTTCATTTTTCTGTGCTTGGTCTAGATGTCACTTTCTTGGAAAAGCCTTCCCTAATGTCCCCAACCAGAGTCAGATACTTCTTTGAGGTACTCCTATATTTTTCCCCATCATGGCATTTTTCTTTTGAATGACTTGAATGTATCTGAATTGCTTGTTTAGCCATTTCTCCCATGAGACTTACACTTTGTGAGTCAAGAGACCATGTCTAACTTTTTCATAATTATATTCATACTGCCTACCACACCTCCTCTTACATATTAGGTACTAAACAAGTATGTGCTACTGACTAAAAGGAATATGCTCTTAGTAAACATGTAATCTATTCTTAAAATCTCATTATACATACAAATTTTATATGTTGCTTTGTTCACTTGACAGCTTAAAATGTTTTCCTTTTGTCATAAGATACCTCCTATTTTGTGTGTTGCTGTTTTTTTCTTTTTTACAAGTTTTTATCAGCTACATAATATTCCATGGAATGGAAGTATCATATTTTAATTACTTGCTCACCAGTGGATAGACTTTTCCCCCCTACATTTCCGATAATATAAAATAACAGAAACGTGGGGGAAATTCAGTAACTGTTATGCCCAATCTTGGTCTGAATTTTTAAATAATTCCTTGGGACAGAGTCATAAAATTAAAAAAAATTTTGGTCACAGATTTTAATTTTTAAAATATTACTGATTATAGATATAATGCTCAGTATAGAAAAATTGGAAAATGTAAGAAAGAGTATAGATCATTCCATCACTTGGCAATGATTAACATTTTTGCAATTTGTTTTCATTCATCTTAATTTTAATTTTTAACAGAAATGGAATTATGCTGTTCATTGTGTTGTTTCCCTAAATATTATAAGCCTTCCCCCTATGTCACTATGTTTTTTTCAAAAATTTAATGTCTACAGAATAAGCCAATATATCATTGTACCATAATTTACTTATCCATTCCCCTAATGCTGGGCAGTTAGTTTTTTCTGCTTTTTAATTTTTAGTACTAAGAAATAATTCTGAAATAAAAAATCTTGAGGCACTACAGCAGAGTGGTCACTGGTATGAGCTTTGGATTCTGAATGCTTAGATCTTAGTTCTAACTAGGCCTCTACTTCTTGTGTGAACTTGAGCAAGTTATACTGTGAGATTTAAATGAGTATGACTTCCTTTAATAAAAATGAGATAACTTCTAGCTTAAGTGTAAAGAGAAAAATTTTTTAAATGAGAATCTTTTAAATTTCTACTTCTATTCCTTAAACTCATGTTTGCTCCTTTATTTTCTCACAGGCTATAAGCACAAAGCTCCAACGTACCTCTTGAATGGCTGTCATGACAACATGTTGAACAGATTCTTCCATCATCATAATGGCCTGGATGTACTCTGAAAACAAGAACAATCTGGGATGTCACTGTTCAAGTTAAAGAGAGTCAAGGGAGCAAAGGCTAACCACGAATTCTTATAAGGAGTTGCCAGTGTTTCGATTCTGCCTAGGCATTCCTCATATGACTGCACATATGTGCCATATGTAAAGGCTGCAAATCACAGTATTTATCTTTCCTTAACATGTCACCCAAACCCATCCCCAACCATTCCTTATAAAGTTGAGGCCTTAGCTAATGGTCACAGGAATGCAGGAATGTAAAGCTATGAAATGGTAAACCCTAAAGCCAGGGTGGGAAAAACTACATATTACTGTTCTTAAAAATCTAAAAATTATCTTACTTTCACATTATTCTTTGTTATATGTTAAAAAAACAAAAAACAAAAAACTTTCAAGTCTGAGCTTTATTCTTATATGACATAGAAGTACTGAATTGTGTATAATTCCAACATTAATATTCTCTACTATAGGAAAGAAAAATCTTAATGGATCTGAAAGCTGCTTAGGAGTAAGAATTAAGATGAATTTAACATAGAAACTGATATCACAGGTAAACAAATATTTAATAACCCTGAGCTTTTAAAATAATGATTCACATCTCTAACAAGCTCAAGGATCAACTTCATCAATCTTCCCCTTACCATTGCTGAAAAAGAGAAGGATCTCTTAGCTCAGTGGTGACAAAATTGGGGGAAAACAATGGCTTGCCTTCTTAAAAAGCCCTGGAAATAGTTTTTATTATTTTCAAATCCAACAATGGATGACAAAAGTGACATTAAACATAAAAAAATTTAATAGGCCAGCTAGATTCCAATAAAAATGGTAAATATGTTTTAACTAGAGGCCCAGTGCACAAAATTCATACACTTTGGGGGGGGGGGCGTATTTCAGCTAAACCTGCATCCTCTTACAGTCCAGGAGCCCTCAAGGGATGTCTGACTGATGGCTTATGTCTATTCCCCGTGGGGAGTGGGCCTAAGCTGGCAGTCAGACAACCTTATGCTGCTGCAGAAGCGAGAGAAACTCCCACCACCACTGCTGCACTTGCCAGCTATGAGCCCGGCTAAGGGCTTCTGGCGGAGTGGTGCTCCTGCTGTGGGAGCACACTGACCACCGGGGGCAGCTCCTGTGTTGAGGGTCTGGCCCCTGGTGGTCAGTATGCGTCATAGCGACTGGTTGTTCAGTCAATTTGCATATTAGCCTTTTATTATATAGGATAAGAAATATTTAGAAGGGCAAAATAATTAGGAAATTTTAGTGTTATCCTGCCACACATATAAAAACAAACACAAAAACTTGTCTCAGCACTCCAAGTGTTATTTGAAGGAGTCTTACTGTGAAATTGTTAAATTGTTCTGTCCCTTTTGCCAAGAGATGCATGTCTTTGGAATACCGGACTATAATCTTTTGCTTGACAAGTAACTTGTTAAAAAGAAAAAAGTATTTTGATAGTACTATTTTATTATTAAAGTACGACATTTTGACATTCAGTTTCACAATATTTATTTTAATATTTTAATCAAATATTTTAATCAAAAATGTTTTTAAGGAAGTATTGCCCTAACTACACTTTATACCCAATCTAATGTGTGGTTAAACACAAATGTACACAACACACTTAAATCACAGGCATTGTTCTTAGGCCAACAATAGGAATATATTGAAACGTAAAGCACTATTCAGTAAAAAACAAACAAAACCAAGCCTTTCTTCCAAATTTAATTTTTTGTTTTGTTAAAGAGGAGCACCCAATGAGTGTTGAAATGCAAGGGAGTTCTTTTAGACATTCTGTTCCAAGGTACCAAACACAGAATTCCAAGGCTACTGCAGAAAATGGCGTAACTAGAATGACTAAAACAACCCTCAAAATGAAGACTGTGAACATGGAAGAGAAGAAGCAGTGGCGCTGATTATGGGAAGGAAGACATCGTGACAGCCTACTGGCAGTGAGGATAACAGAATAGGGAGGTGAGGAAGTTATTAGTAAGGTGTGAGAGGGGAAGCGTTAGTTAAGAAGCGGTGTTGCCACGTCAAGGCCCTTCCCCGCGAACACCGTAAAATGCTAAATGATAAAATGATGATGAGAACTA